ATTGGTTTGTTATCCAACTATAATTTGGTGAGATTAAACAATGTAATGATCATAATCTGAGAAAGCCACTGATTCCAGCTGTAACATTAGTACTAAGCAACGTTTCTTTCTAATGTACAGTTGCTATTGGCAATACCATCAGCTGTAAGACATTGACTTCCAATCCTGATGCCGACGATTCAAGACCAACCTGGACTTTTTTTTTTTGTTTGTTTGTTTTTAGGTTGTCTATATACTTAACAAGTATTTTGGCTAATGTGACTAGTTTGTATTGGTTTGTCCAAGTAAAAATAAAGATTGGGTAAAATCTCTGCCAAATTAGATTGGTTGGTTTAACCAAAAGATTAGTTGAACACATAACGTCCAACCCGATTAAAACCAAAAACTGTGGAAAAACTATAATTCGTACGCTTTCACTGTTTGCTTATTTCACTAAACTTACAGAAAAAACAGTGAACCTTAAATGATTTTTCTCTTCTAGGAAATATTTACACTAAACAAAACCTACAAAAGATTTTATTATACACACACCAATCATAAATTTCAAAGGAACTTAAACACTTAAATGGGAAAATGACAAGAAAAACAACTGCAAAAAAATCCCAGATTCTATTACTAACTGTAGTTCTGCCGTCCACCAGTAGGTGGGGACATGTTCACATGAAGCTTCATGAACTGTGGGGATCGTTGAGGCAATTTGGCCAAAACGGTTCAACGAGGCTTCATCTCACCATGACTAAGGTGCCTCCAAACTACAGAAGGTGACTCCAAAGTTAAAATCAATCCACTGGACTTTGTTTCCAAGTTTGAAGACGTTTCTCTTCCATCCAGGAAACTTTTTCAATTCAAAATGTCAGAAATCGAGTTGAGTTCCAATAATAATCCTGACATTTTAAATGGAAAAATCTTCCTGGATGAGAAACGTCTTCAAACTTGGAAAACGAAGTCCAGCTGATTGTTTTTAACTTTTTTGGAACGACTCTGACCTGGATGACTGAGAATCTTTATCCAAAACATGGAAGGTTACAATGGCCACAGTAAATAAATATATTTAAATGTGGCATTCATTTATTAAAACAAAAAAAAAAAAAGTATCTTATTTAATAAACACAATTAGTGTCGTTATTATTATCTTAGTTATATTCATTTTATTTTAAGAAGCACTGAAACCATAAAATAATTCAAACTGCTACAAGCTCATCAAAGCCAAGAAGGCGGGACTAGAGATGCCGTCATAGAGACGCTGATGTCTGATTGGCTGCTTCTCAATAAGAAAGGTGAGAGATGTTTATTTTTTTACTCAAGGTAAATCATTTTCTGATGTGTTTTCATTTTCATTCAATTTCCACTCCAGCCTTTTTATGCAGTTTGGTCTCTAAAGCGATGCTGAAAGTGGGCGGGGCTAACTGTAATTCAGGCGCTCTGAGGATTAATTAAATAGATTTTAGAGGCTGGAGTCGCTCACAGCTCCTGTAAATAAATGGAAACACATTTTAGAAATTATTTCCACCTTTCCTGCTGATAAAAATGACTTTAAAGTAAAAGAAGTTTAGCTCAGAGAGAAGCAGCCAATCAGACGTCAGAGTTTCTATGGATTTCTGTTCAATTAATTTATGGCGTAGAACTACTTCAACAGTGGAACATTAAATCATTTATCACGTTATAAAATAAGATCTATATTTTATTTGAGGCCTAAATAATATTTATATATTAATTAATAAAATCTATATCCAGGTTTATTAAAAGAATAACGCTTAATTAAATGTGGCACTCACCGCCCTCCATACCAGACGGCTGGTTCTGGTTCTGGTTGATCTCAAATGAATGTTAGAACCGGAAGTAATCTTCCTAATCTTCATCACATCCTCACCTTCCTCAGTGCTGCTCTGCATTAAGAGTTTCTGAGCAGCTGCAGACTTTAATTAACCAGTAAAACCAGCAGCTCAACCAGAACCACTGGGACACCTCAGAGTAGAACCGTTTGGTCAGAACCGGTCCTTACCTGCTGGACCTCACCTGCTGCTCCCCAACTGGACCTGTGGAAAACAAACTGTCAGAACCATGTGGTCCACGGCAGGCAGCTTCACGTGGGCGGACTCACCTGGACCCAGAAAGCCCTGAAAGTTCTGCAGAACCAGGAGAACCTGCAGGAGCCCAGCGGAACCAGAACCTGGGAAAGTTCTGCAGAACCACAGAAACTACGATAATCAGACAAACAGGCGTTTTATTCTGAAGGCTTCACGCTGGGGCGGCTCAGAGGCTCTGGGATGACGTCATGACGCACAGAGTAACAGATGGTTTGTGGTGAAGATGAGTCACTCTGATCGGAACCAGTCCAACGGTGACCCGGTCAGGAAACCCAGATATACAATATATACTCTACCATTTTCCCTCTAATACAGACAGTGGCAGCAGTAATACTCTGAAGTGGAATATTAAATGTAATTTTTCATATATTAGCAATTACTTCACAGCAAAACCACTGTGGTCAAATAAGCACATCAATAAACTAACATTAAAGATGAAAAGTGCAGAATTCCTGCTCTTTTCAGAACTAGATTTAATGTTTTATGGGGTAAAGAGAAAATGATGCGTCTCTGCTGGTAATCTAGGAGTCACAGTGAAATTATAGATTAACATGTTAATAAAAGTTAATAATTAATTTATATAGATATTAGTACTTGTAAATATCTATTTTATCTAGAATAATTGTTGATAAAAGTAGGCAAGTAATGACAAAAGAAAAGATGCCCCAGAACTCAAACCTGAAAGAATTTCATCTATAAAGCACGGATGTTTAAATATATGCGTCTATTTGTCAGCAAAGGCTGCAGGAAAGTAGAGTTTGTTTTTATTTAGAAAATCTGGATGTTTTGCTGGTTAATTTTACTGTTGGACCAGAGCAGACTGACCCTGAGGTTCTGGCTCCACCCCTCAGTCTACATGGTTATTGCTGGACGCCCTTAGAAACATTTTCTAGCTACGCCTCTGCCGTTCATCCGTTTCTATTTGCATCTTTTCTAAACTAAAACCAGGCTTTGTTGGGCTGCTGGATAAAACCTGGAACTCAACGCTATTTCTGACATTTGGAATTGAAAAAGAACATCTTCAAACTTGGAAACAAAGTCCAGAAGATTGTTTTTTTGGTTTTTTAATACTAATTAAAACTCTTTTTCCACTTTCTTCTACCTAAACTCTGTGTATATTTCTTCCTGTTGTTTTTATTTAACTCCTAAAATGATTAAATGCTCATTAATGTCTCAGGATAAATGTCACTGATCTGCTGATTTTCCAGCTAAAGGACCCAGAAAACCCTCAGAGTGAGAACTCTTCCTCTGTTCCTCACTCTTTGTTCCACATTCCTCTGTGTTTGTCTCTAGGCCACGCCCCCCGGGCCTCCCCTGTTTTCCCTTGCTGCTCCACCTGACAGGTGAGCCTCTTTCCTCGGGTCCCCGCAGCCCCCCCACTCCCACCCCCCCACCTCCAACATGGCGGCTCCGCTGAGCGACCACGAGAAGCGGAAACAGATCAGCGTCCGCGGCATCGCGGGTCTCGGAGACGTCGCGGAGATCAAGCGAAGCTTCAACCGACATCTGCACTTCACGCTGGTCAAAGACCGGAACGTGGCCACCCCACGCGACTACTTCTTCGCGCTGGCCCACACCGTCCGGGACCAGGTCGTCGGCCGCTGGATCCGGACGCAGCAGTACTACTATGAGAAGGACCCGAAGGTAAGAGCCTGCAGAACTCCGCCTGGAAACAAGCGACTCGAGCTTCCTCCCAAGTTTTCCTCAACAAACGTGTTAAACAGTCAAAGCGACGCTCTGGTTCGGTTCTTTAGAACCCAAACAGGAGTTCGGCTCAAACCAAACCTGAATCCGTTTCTTTAGTGGACTTTGAAGCCTCTTTTCTGCAGTGAACCCCTGAGCTGCTGCAGCGGGAAGCTGCAGGGATCAGACTTTGCTGATCTCCACTGGTTCTGAGCTCAGAGCCGATTTCAGCCCGAGACTAAACTAAACCCGAAACGATCAGAACCGAACCCATTTCACTGGAACACAGCGAGCTGATGGGAAGTTAGAGGAAGACCTCTGAGTTCTGAATGGAGTCTGGTGAGACGTTCTGGTTCTGACTACTGGTAAAGTAGAACAGGAGGCAGATCTCAGGTTATGCTGAGC